AAATTCAAAAACCATGTGATTTTTTTTTTAATTCAAAAATTTTTCTCTCATTTTTAAACGAAATTGCTCAGTTCCTCTCAACAGAAAAAATTCAGTACTTTAAAACGAGTTTTCCTACAAAGAACGAGGTTTGGCTTGTATAACAATGTCTAATATTTACCTTAAAGAGAGGTTTAATAAAATGTGATAATTATATGTCCTGAATCCCTCATTCAGTAAAGTTGCGAATTCGGTCATTGTTTTGATTAAATATTAAAGATCTAGCCTGTACATCAGCACATTTAATCTTTTCAAGAGCTGTGGCATACTAAATTTCCCCACAGTTTTGTAATATCTACAGTGTGTACGACTAAAGTTTGTTACACCACGATCAATCAATCAAGACTGCCTATATCTTTGTCGTTGTAAAGTGAAAAATTCGAAGGAGATCATGAGTTAAAACATGCGTGTTAATGTAATGTAGCTTAGAAAATTACAATATAGAGCCGCGATGGCCTTCGTCTTCCAATGAGGTGACCCAGGTTCGAATCCCAGCAATGGCTTTTTGATCGGAATTCCGCATCCGGCTTGCACGGACCACAGTGTTGACGAGAAATATCCTCAGCGGTAGACGGATCATGGGTTAGAGTCCCTTGCCATCAGGCTAACCGTGGGAGGTTCTTGTGGTCTTCCTCTCCATGTAACGCAAATGAAGGTTAGTTCCATCAAAAAGTCCTCCACGAGAGCAAATTTTGCCCAAGACTTGTTCTAGGTGTTTCTTTGTCTTCCAGATGGGGTTCAAAATTACAAGGCTACGGAGTTGAACATTAGTAGTCGTAAACCCAAAATTGGATCGACTCTTCAATGACGGTTATAAAATTAAAATAAAGTATAAAAGATATGTAGTCAATTACTGTTTATATTGTTATCATTTGTAGAAAGTGCTTCAATTATTAGAAATGAACGATGTCGGTATTCATGTTTTACATGTTTACAGAAGTAAAATATTTGTTTCGGCTACGATTTTGTACATGGTAGTCATGGTTTTGCATTTCAAAATAAATAAATAAGTAAAATAAAAGCAATAAAATAAATAAATTTTGTTAAAAAATAATTTAATTTATGGTAATTAATGGAAAGAAAAAAAATCACAACTAATTTTTAATTTACTTACTTACAAACTGATTCTTCCCTACACACTTATTAACTTATTTTATGATTCATTGATCCACTGATTCACGGCATCGTTCTCACTCTCTGTCTGAACACTAATTCATAAAAACGGTTAAATGTTCTTAAAAATTTATGCCAATAGCTGAATTCTAAAATCTTATTTCCCCAACATCAGTTAAAAACAACCTATTAAAGAACACCATATTATTCTGTGTTTATATTTTCTTTTTTGCTTTGGAGGGAAATGTATAAATGATCATTTACCCTTTGAAAGATACCCGGTTGCGTCATTTACCCTATGTTGTACTCAGGAGAGGACGGTAAACGAAAGATGATATTAATATGAAACAGGTGTTCCGGTGAAATTGACAGGAAGAGGTCCATCACCCACTTGCATATTCCGGAAGGGAACCCTGTTTCCGGTTCGACTGTGTCGTGGGTGACACCACATTTTTTTTATATTTTTTTTTTATATAATGTGGTTTACTACTGTCATTTTTTGAGCACAAGATGTTATTCTTTGATTTTTTTTTAATTATATATTTTTGTCTCAAAATATGAAAGTATTTTGCGGAATATTTTTATAGTAGTTTCAATTATAACATAAAAGTAAGAAACTTATCAGAGATGGATATGGCTGGTAAAAAAAAAAGAGTTAATTATTAAATCAATAAATAATATTCCCCCCTTTTTTTAACAGAAAAAATTCACTTTCAGTTTTTCGTACCATTTTTCAATACCACGAGCCTATTTTATAAGTCTTAAGTTGAAGAAACTAGAATTATTTCTTCGCTTTATTAAAATAATTTTTTCAAAGACCGTTGCATTTAGCTCGTTTCTGTCACCCATGAGCTCATGATTGCTTCGTAATCATTTTCGTTTCCTAAATATATTTTTACATCAAAATTGCAAATTATTAAATTAAATGATCAAAAAGAAAACTCTTTTAGTAGAATTGGGTACCTGTAAATGACGTCACACGTGGGTATCGAACCTGATCACCAGCAGAATCGGGGTATTCGTTTATGCCACGATTCCGCAACCAATCAGGTTCGATACCTACGCGTGACGTTACTTACAAGTGTCTAATTGAATCTGATCTGGAAATTAATTCAGCTTGATAATAAACCGAGCCTAATAGCTATAACGTTAATACGCAGTCTTCTTTATAGACAACTTGCTGATTTCAGCGGTTTTCTTCGTCTTGAGTTGCAAGTACTCAATTGGGTATAATATGAAAAAAAATACAATTACTTCCACTCCGAAAATTTTACTAGGAATAATATTTACGTTTTAGTTTAATTAATAAGCTGAGTTTTAAATATGTTTACTAAATTCATAAACTTAGATAAAGGAACAAAATAAATTATTTCAGAAGGAACTGGACTAATACATTTCCAACCTGACGAGTAGCGATTTATAACAACACACTTCGTTTAATGTTTACTTGTTGCTAGAAATGAGGTTCGCAGAAAATGCTGTTTACTAATTAAATTTAGTAGGAATAACACGATCTGTGACGTAGGCTATAGTATACCCAATTGGTTCCACAGATTTAGTTTCAGGTTCTATTTGGATAAAATTTAAACCTAAAAATTTTGATCGGTTGCCAACAGTTATCATCGATAAACGTATATTTCAAAATCTCATTTAATTTGTGGTTATTATAAAAACTTTCAATTATTTTTCTCCTAATACTAATTATTTTTATTTTCCAATATTAATATTCATTAATATTAATTAATTTCTTTCTAGACTATTTAACAACTACAAAAATTGAATCTTTTTCGAATAGTTATTTTGAATTAAATTATTACAAATGCATACGTTTACCAGACACAGTTATGCATAAAACTTATTTAAAAATTTATTATTTGCCGTTGAAAAGTTGTAAAATAGTGATTCAAATTTATCATAAAATATTGCTAAATAAAATAATATACTGTGACAACTTTATAATAAAATAAATGAGCAACGTTTTCACTTTTATGCTTTTAATTTGGAATTGGGTATACTATAGCCTACGTCACAGGTCGTGTTATCCCTACTAAATTTAACTAGTAAACAGCATTTACTGCGAACCTGATTTCTAGCGACAAGTAAACATTAAACAAAATGTGTTGTTATGAGTCGCTACTCGTCAGGTTGGAAATGTATAAGTCTAGTTCCTTTTGAAATAATTTATTTTGCTGTTTTATCTAAGTTTATGAATTTAGTAAACATATTTAAAACTCAGCTTATTAATTAAACTAAAAGGTAAATATTATTCCTAGAAAAATTTTCGGAGTGGAAGTAGTTGCGCCTTTTTAATGTTATACCCAATTAAAGTCAAATTCGGAAATGTAAAAAAGGGAAGTAATATAAAGAATGGATGATCAATAAATATTACTTGCAAATTCCTTTAAATAAGGGATAAATTAATAATTTACAGATAAATGCCGTTGTAATTTTTATTTATTTTATGCTTATGATTACCTGTATCTTCTGTATCAAAAATACGTGTATCTTCGTTGCGTATTATAAATTATGTCATGTGATTTTTCTGTCCAATGAGAAACGGTAATCATCTTAAGATTTCTAGGTATTGTTGGTTTTGTTATAGTTCTAATTTTATTCAATCGCTGCATTATCCAAGGCATAGATTCTCTTTTTTCATCGTGTATATAAATTTTTTAAATAAAATTTTGACAACTTTATTTTTAAAAGTGAAAAATAATTTTATTCATTATAACTAAATTATAATTAAATTAATAAATTATGATGTTTGGACAATTTTTACCCCTTTCCAGTTTCCCTTTCCAGTCTGGCTATAGTTATTCCAAAAATATTGCAAACCACTAAATACGTAAAACAATTTTCTTCTAAACATTACCCTGTTCTTTAGCAATTACTATTCTTAAAACAACATAGAGTTCAAATATAACGATTTACGTTTGCAGTTTCTAATGCTGTTGGTCTAAGATTTCAAAATCAAAAATTGATGATTCTGTAAAGCATAGGTAGCCAGTGGTTTCACTAATTTTATGAGCCCCTCGAACTTTCCACAAAAATTAAGTAGAATAAAATTCAATTTTTTTTAAAACTTTTTACGAGTTAAAAATTACTCTGTTTTCTTAATTATTTAAAAAAAACATTTTTTTTTAAATTTAATTTAAAAAAAAAGTTTTATGGCATTAATTTATGAAATTTTGTTTTTATGTTTCAAATCATTTTCATGTTCCTTTCTTTTTCATTATTCAGAAAAAAAGGAATATTTTCACTCTATTTTAGTTTTCTCAAAAAAGAGATTTTATGATTTCACTTGATTAAATTTTATTTTTATGGATTTCTCAATTTATATTATGCAATTTGTGAAAATGATTAAACTGTTATGATTACAGTAACATTATTAAAATAAAAATAAAAATTATAGAAGAAATAAAAAACATTTAACTGGAATTATAACTTCAGTCTTGAAAATTGATTTTAAACAAACTATAATAGATTTAAATTGCGGAATTAAACTCGTGTCGACTAATTTACTTTGATAAGATGTTTTCTTTTTTTTAAAAATTATTAAATAGCTTTATTTTTGATAAGGATATCCTATGTTTTTGCTTATTATTTTTCGATATGAATTGTAATAGTTTCTATTATTAATGTTCTTATATTTATTTTCGAAAGTTATTAAAATTAATGATTGAAGCTTAGTATTATCAAATATTTTTAATTATGTGCTTTCTCAGAAAAAAAAAAGAAAAGAAACTTATATTATAAAATTACGTGACAATAAAATAAAAAAAATAAGCTATCGTAAAAGAAAAATCATCATTATAATTAAATTCAGAGAAAAAAAAATTGGAACGAAATTGGAAATCAATATATTTATTCAATCAATAAAAATGGTTTAAAATGGTATAAAAACAAGCAAGACAAAATTTAACGCTTCAGTAGAAAATATCTTAAAAAATTGCACACTTTTAAAGCTTATAAAATGCAGCACGCACACTATTGCATACAATATTGCAGTGAGTCCTACACTTTGATATTAAACGACAATACACACATAAACAAAAAGAATATATTAAATTTGTTTTTACAAGTTTTTTCTAAATCAAAATTCAGTAACATTTATCAGCTTTAGAGAAACAGAAATAGAAGAATTTTGAAAAAAGTATAGAAAAGAAAAAGAAATAAATTCACTGACTAGATATACAATAATTATAAACAATTCTAATAAATAAATAAGTAATAAATATGAACTAAAAGAAAAGCAAATAAAATATTTCATTTACTATATTTGGCATTATATATTTCTTAAAACCTTTCATAATCATATAATCATCTTTAACACAAACCCTGTTAGTCCCTTTAAGAACCGTTAAAATACCACGAAAGTAAATTTTTTTTTGAATTTTTATATTCGTCACTATAATAAAAAACGAACAAATAGTAAAATTGTGAAAATTTTTCTTTTTACTTTCAGTATCATTCATTCTGGTACACCGGAATTCTGTGAACTACTTTAAAAATACGCTAGAATATTCGAATAAAAACTTACTAACATAGATTTAAAAACAAAAAATATATTTTGCTCTAACTCTAACTCTTTGGTCCACATCAACTTTCGAGATCGTAATCTCAAATACAAAATATCGTTCATTCGATTCGAAATCTGCATATCTAAGAATAACTTTCTGATTATTATTTTTGAATAAAGTTTTGAATAACGTGAAATTTTTAAAATCGTTTTACGTTTTTTTTTCTTTTTTTAAAAATTTTATTTCACGAATTTTATTGCCCTAAAAACATTAGGAAAGTTAATAAGCAAGGATATTAAAAAAACAAAGAAATATTACAGATTTGTTATTTTTATTCTCATGTTGCAAAGCTTTATAAAGCTTACAAAAGAGCTTAGGAGTTTCTCCACAATAACATTTAACAACGAAATTTCTATTTATCAACTTTAGAGAATATAGTTGTATGCGCAATCATATTAGTTTAAACATGACGTTAATTACGCTGTTCGAGGCGTTAATAATGTCAATTTTTTGATGTCAAGTTTAAAATGCATGGCAAATCTGCGTTCACATTTTCCTTTAGAAATATATTAAAAATAGCGTCTGATTTAACACAACTAACTGATTTCTGTGAAACAAATAGTAACCCAGAGAATGCTCTGATATGCAGTAGCTAATTGAATAATAAGACTTAATACTTAATTAGAAATTAAGTAATGATATTTAGTAAAAAAAAAAGAAGCAAAAAATGATGTAAATTAAGGATTCTTGAATGATAGGATCGATTCAACAGCAAGGAATCGTTTAGAGAAACGATTCTGCATTTTCAGAAACAAACTTTTCTAGAAAAGTAAAAAATAAATTATATGAAAACACGTTTTTGGGTAGTAGATTATTGTGTAGGAATAATTTCTAAATTTGCCAAAATTTAAAACATAATTCATAGAGTTTACTTATACTTTACCATCAGGAAGCAAGATCTTTAATTTGGTGTGAAAAATTCTATGTAGAATAAGTTTTAGTACTAAGTTTTATGAGGCATTTCTTATCTTTTTTTTTTAACTTAGTTTATTATTTTGCTCTTTTTTCAACTAAATTAGAAATATGGAATGACTTTTCTGCATAAATGAACAATTTAGTTTGTTTATTAAAAAAAATAGCGAAATTAAAATATAAATATCAATTTCAAATTTTTAAGTATCAGTTTCAATAAAAAAAGTATGTTAAAAAATTATCAAGTATGCTTTTCTAAACATGTAAAATCTTTCCTAAAGCTTTTACGAATCAGTCGAAAATTGAAATTCGCAACGCTCTACAACTTCTGGTAGCTATTTGTCATGTTCTAAGTAAGAAAATATAAAATGCGTGGCAACTTTTCATCTTTTGTTATAAACTTCAAGGCAATTTTTTACAGCGGATAAAAAGGCTCTTAAAATCATATGCCAACGCTATAAAAATATATCTGGACCCTGTAATACAGCTAACTGCATTATCAATTAAGCTTACAGTCAATAAAAATATGATCAGGAAAGCATCACAGTCATCTTTGGTACAGGCACAATGGATAATTCACTCCATGTTCCACTAGTAAGATTGCTCAATGCATCTTTGGTACACGTACAATGGATAAATTCATTCCGTGTTTTAATGACAATTGTTTAATGTTTACATAGAATCTTTTCACAGAGATCATAATATTCTAACTCACAAGAACAGGCGATCCTCTTCCCAGCAAGGCAGAGGGCGATATTTTTCTATCGCAAGACTCTTTATTAGTCACCAAATCCAGGATGACATTTTTATTTTGATCCAGTTGCTGTTGTTGTTGCTGTTGCCGGTGAACTCTCATACAGGAAGATTCCTCATGCTTGTAGAGATAGCTTTTCAAAGCAAAAGCTTTACCACAACGCTGGCAAACATATGGCTTGCTGCTGGAGTGTGTTTGAATGTGAGCTCTGAGGTTGGATTTGTCGGCGAAGGCTTTTCGACATACTGGACACTTGAATGGTTTTTCACCTGTGTGGGTCCGAATGTGACCTTGCAGCAACCAAGGTCTGCTGAAACATTTGCCACAGTAGGGGCACTGACAGCCTTGACTATGGGTTCTGACATGCATGCTATAGGCTGGCATGGACACATACACTTTGTCACAGTGTGGACATTTGCGTGCTTTCTTATCCGTGACACTGCGATGGGTTTGTCGGTGTCTAGCTAAATTGCTAGAAGTGCTGTATCGTTTTCCGCATTCATTGCAAATGTGGCTGTCTTGCTGCTGGTTACTGGAAGACAAAATTGGGGAACTACGGCTGGTAGAACAGGGACTACTGTCAGGAGATTGTTGACGTATATTTGGCTGATGTTGTTGTTGTTGCATTAACTGTCGGATGACAGTGACAAGAGCAGAAGTTGTACTCTGGTAAGGACGGTAAGTACTGTTTGTTATGGGTGGGCTCATAGAAACACTTCTGTAGGCTACTAAAGGTGGAGTACTTTGAGGAGATGGATGAAATGTCTGTAAGTAATGAAAATGCTATTATTAAAAAATAATAATAAATAAATTATTAAAAAATTGAAGTGATAAAACATAAATATATTTATGTTGTTAATACTTTAATATTGCAGCAATTTTGTTAAAAACGCACTGTTCTGTTCTTCATTTAATAAAACTTAATAGAAAATAAAATTTTCAAAATTTCATATAATTAGTTATTGCTCTGTAATAAAATGCTTAAAAAATTTCCATATTTAAAAAAAGGACAAATTTATATTTATGGATAGAAATAGAAATTATATTTATAGATAGAGATAGAAATTTTTGAATTGTAAGATAAGGAATTTTTTGCTCATTTTAAAGAACATAACTTTACACTGCAAAATACAAAATTTTCTCAAAATCGGTTGAATAGTGCCTGAGAAATCAAATTTTAAATATCTGACTTCTTTGAAATTCAATTTCTCAGAAAATTCTTTTTTCATTATTATGTAGACTATTCGTATCCAATTTATACTGCATTAACATGGTTTTTCGAAGTTCTGTTGCCAAGGAAAATAAAAAAAAGCGAGTATTTAAGTGCCTTACACTTGAAGCAAAACGAGGAATTTAAACTGTATATATCATCATGCCGTGATGAATTATCTGGAGCTTAGAACGGACAAATAACTTAAATATTTTATAAGTTATTAAACTTATTTAAAAATCGCAAATGTAGCGACATTTTCCCACCTCGATTAAAATTATTAAAATCACTGCCTTGATCTCAGTTTTTGCAAATTTTTATGAGCATATAATGCAGCATTGGAGTAAGTTTTTAAATATTGAGAAACGAGACCACAAACGCTTTTCATTTCTACGAAACTGTGGCTATTCTCCGTATTGACGTTTTGTGCCATTATTAGAATAATCATAGGCAGCACTAACTTTATATAAGCTAAATTTGTCCTAACAGTCACTGTTGCAAACTCGCAGCAGCTATAAAAATAGCATTTTATTCGCGAAAAAGTATAATTTCATACGACGACGAATCCTTCCAAAAAACAACTTTAAGAATGAATAAATTAAACTGGTTGCACCTTTCTGACTCCCCTTTTGACTATAATTATAACTTAAAATTCAAGTTTTGCTTCGAGTTTCGCGCTTATTATTATTATTAATTTGGCAACGAGAAAGAACTTTAAAGAACAGCTTTAAGGAAGAAGAGTGCTTTTACACTCTTAGAAATATTGGCCAACCCTATTATTGATAATATGGTTTGAACTTGAAAAATTTGGTGCAAATTTGCTGCAGACTAAAATGAACTATATTTTCGCTCTAGCTTGACCATAATATCAAATATTCAAGTTTTAAAAATATGGTCAAATTTAGAACCATAAGATTGCAGAAAGCATGGATTGATTTTATGGTTCAATACACTCCAAAACTTCTATCACTGTGGCTATTGATACATAGCAGCTTCTTATGTGGGTAAATTTTAAAAGCACTTAAAGTTACCTACCATCAGACTCAAGGGTTGTCCATCATCAGATGTAGGACTTTGCTGCTGTGACCTGGACTCATGAGCCGGAGATCGGGGACTTGTTGGTTTCAAGTTCTCATATCCGATGGAGTCCGTTTCACTGTCGCAGTAAGGGGGTGAGCAGAAAGAGGGACCTTCAGCCGTCGACACTCCCCGTTCCGGGCTCGTCTCTGCAAAGAGAAAACGAAATAAAACTGTCAACGGTGTTTCTAGTTCGACATAAACAGTTCTTTGTGAAATTTAAGAGGAAGAAGCTATCCATAGTACATAAATATTTTTTTTGAGGTGGATTTTCCCAGGGAAAGATTTACCGTTAGGAGGTGGTTGGAATTTTACTCTTGGCTGGTGGCCGTGTTTTAAAACTATTGAAGAAAGATAAACAGTTGAAAAAGAAGGAAAAAAAATTTCCTACTACTTATATTTCGTGGTAAACGATAAAAATAAATATGGATACATTATCTTAACAAATAACTACTAGCACTTAAAGATATATTGAAAATGAAACAGGTGTTTTTTCCACTAAAATTTTTAGTATATTCATTACGAAGAAAATCACGTATAGATATTGACAGAAAAGAGTAAATAAGTTGAAAACATTGCTAAAAATTAATAAGAATATTTCATATTTTATAGCTGGCGTTGAATAACCGACACCATACTGAGTTTATGACAATCAATGTTCAACTCCGTAGCCTTCTAAATTTGAACATAACCCAAAAGATAAGGGATCTCCTAGATCAAGCACTGGGTCAAACTAACTTTTTGATGGAATTAATTCGCATTTGAGTGACACGGGCAAGAAAACCACGAAAACAACCCACAGTTAGCCCGACGGCAAAGGAATTTTAATCCATAATTCATCCGCCACTTATGATATTTTACGTAATCACTGTGGTAGTAGCGGGCCGAAAACAGAACTCACGTCAACTAGCCAAAGCTGGTATTCGAACATGGGTCACCTTATTGGGAGGTAAATGCTCAATCGCCACGACTAAGAAGAATTTTTGGGCATTTTTCTACTTTTTTTAAAATTATATTTCTAATACATCAATCTTTTATTCGAAAGCTTTTAATTTTCGCTAGAATATTCTAAATCAGGCTGCACATTCGGAAAAAAATTGAAAAATGGTTGTGAAAGATTGAAGAAAAAAATAATTTTACTAATTGCCATATACCAAAATATATTCGTAATGTAAAGAAAATATATATAGAAGATAGAGAAAACATATCATATATCAATCAACAGCCTCATGAAGCATAAAGTATTTTATTATACTTTCAATTCTCATTAAAATTTGTCCTAATAGATTTTCAACGCTTTCTGGAATTCGTAAAGACGCTAAACACATTAAACCATGAAGAAATTTTTAAAAATTTCTATAATTTTTTTCAAGAATTATCTATTTTATGACATTAGTAGTTATCCACAAAATAAAATGAACCGAAAACAAATAAAATATCAAACAGTTTACAAATAACAATACTTAAATCCTTGTACCAATCACAGTTTAGTAAGCTTATAGAGAGATATTGAAAAAGACACATGGAATTATAAATTTTGCCATTAGAGGTGAAAGCAAAACATTTGTTGCCAATAAATTTTTAACCTTTTCTAATTTCTTAACCACCCAACCAGTAAGTTTCTTAACTTCATTTAAAAATAAATTATTATTATCGTTTGTTTTTTCAAACGATTTTATAGTGAAAAAACTTTGAACCAAAGTATCTTTTTCTCAAAACATAACTGTATCTGATTCCTTAAAAAAAAAAAAAAAACTAGTAGATAAAATGCCTCGTCTGTACAGGGAGACATAAAGTGGGTACCATTTTTATCTTCTTATCAGTTCTCGTCCAGACCACCCCGTGTCCCTATCATAAACTCATCCAAATTCATTATAAAAGTCACGGGCAGTGTGCGGATAAAGAAATTGAAACAATTTTTAATACAAGAGAGGGAAAAAAAAGGATTTTACCACTTTCTATATTGCCATAGCGAATCGTCAAATTCTATATCAATCTTTCAACTTGCTAGCTTTACCACACACGGTTAGAGTGCCAACTTTGGGGGTCAGCATTCAAAAGGTCAAACATACTGACGATATATCAGCGAGTTGTCAGGTTGGAAAGGGTAATTTTTCTGCTTTTTTTACAGCAACTGAACGAACCCTTGTTTGATTAAAAAAATTATAAGAGAGGATACAATTTTATGACACTGTTTTCGCGAGGTAAGCTAAGTTTTCTTCAAAAAACCATTATTTACTTATTTGTTTTTTTTAATACATTGCGCCATTGAGAAAAAAAATCTAACCTAAAATTGTTCTGGGAAGTAAAATGTTGTTTTAACTCTTTTAATGGTCCTTTATGGTTTGATTGATATTTCGTTCCTTAAAGATGATCGCTTCAACTACAAGATTGATTAATGTAACATGTAAAACTCATCAGATTTTCTTAATTTTTAAAAGCCATTTTCATTTTTCAACAGAAGAAGGTTATGGAGAACCAGGTTGATGGGGAATAAGAAGAAATTGAAAGTATTTGAGCGTGTAAAATATGTTTTATAAATTTTATAAAGAATGATTGGCTGTAGATGCAACAGATTCCGTTGTTCGGAAAAAATAAATTGTAATGTTATAGAGTTTTACATTTCCCAATTTTTCATAAAATATGTTTGAAGGAATCTAGAAATTTGAGGTATTACTTCCAAAATTAATTTAAATTATGATAAGCTAAAACTAATCTTAATTTTTTTTTGTATATTTTAAAATAAGTAAATAAATAAATAAAATGACTATTGAAATGATCACAGCAAATATTCTTACTAACACTGATCCGATAAACTGATTGTAGATTCTATTCCCTATTATTATTGTTATTATCATTTAAATCTCCAAGTACTTCGAATTTTGATATTCTTTACGATGAGAAACATTTATATTATTAAAACAATTTTGAGCTAACGCTAAACTAATTAAAATTTTATTCATGGACAGAATAAGATTTATTAGATTCTTTGGTGTAACAAACGTTTCAATCTTTTAAAGTTTAGATGGTTAATCTTAGAAATCGAAGTTTCGTTTAACTGAAACTTTTTCACCATATGAAAAGTATTAATCTCTAATCTCGGCTAATATTTTATTTCTATTTCTGAATTTAATGGAACCTGTTCTGTTCTTTCTGTATAAGATATTTTACTTCTATTCCTGTTCTTTTCCTTATTTATCACGAATTTAATATTGTACAAAAAGATAATTTCTTCCAGAAAAGTATTGGAAAATCTAAAGAACACAAAAAGTATTGAATATTGAGAAATTCCATGAAATGAAATATTTCCGACACTACGGCACCCTCATGATCCCGCATTTTACAAGTGTCTCATACCAGCTTATCCCATCCACTCAGCGATCTATTAAAGATTGCGATAAAAATCCCATCGATGTTATCAAATATCGCCCCACCTCATAGCTACTGTATAATCGACCCTCTTGTTGGCGGGCCATGAAGGGGACGTCAAGATCCACTTGTGGTGTCTAGGCTCTTCAATTCTTAAGGGATATAATACTCCCACTAATGGAATAGCACACAGGCATTTTGATAGGGCATGTCCAGACAAGCAATCCATGTTCACACGCCAAAGGAGTACTTGTTGCCGATTCTGTTGTCCTATCGCGGACCTTTTGACTGCTATCTGCTAAGCTTAGCGAAGGTGAAGGGTGCATTTTTAGAAAAATTTGGCATATTTCAGAGTCTTTAGACGTCTGTCTGACTTTTCTACTTATATGTCTTCTTTATGGCAACCGCCTTGTTGGTAATAAATCTTCTTAAGGTGGTAGATTCGAAAAAAATATACTTGTTTTTTGTATGGAAGGTAGACACGGCTGCACGAAATTGCTTAGGTTTCTTCAAAATTTTAATTACTTGGCTCATTTTCTCTTTATATAAGTTTGAAATACACGAAATGATTTAATTAAAAGAAGCAATAAAAACTGAAGAGATGGGATATAATTATTTACTGGATTGAAAATTAAAAGTAAAAACCCGAATTTATTTAAATGAATTCCTTCGGAATCTAGCTAAAAATTGGAAAAGTTACTCGATTTTTAAATCTTAAATGAATTTTTGAAATGCTTTTCAAGAATTGATTTAACAAGTTTAAGTTGTTTTAGCATGTATAGTTTTCAGCCTATGAACAGATTCTGGCCAACTATGCTAAATGTATAACTGTAGAATGAAGAATGTAGAAAGCTAGTGAATGAACTTTCACTGATGACCCAGCTTTTATAAGTTAATTATCAATATTTTATTTTGTTGGATCATTAATCTAGAACATTAGTTTGAACTGATTTAAATTTTTTCCTGTTAAAATATGACCCTTTTAATTTAATGTTCTTTAAAGACAATTTATAATTAATTCTTAAATGATAATTTTTATTTTACGTGGAATATAGCTAATGTCATACCTACAGGTATAAAGCTATTAACAGTTGCTAAATAGCTCTGCATATAACATGCCTAGTAATATAGTGTGTAAAGTATTCTGTTAATAATTTCAAATATTGCAATATTTACCAGTTTAATAGTATGCATAAATTTACAGCTCAATAATCTTATTCGTGAAAATCATCCCATCTCTAAAGGTGGAATCTTATTTATAATTCTTGAGTCAAAATAAAGGCAGATAAATATTTAATACTAAGCAATATTATTTGCTCTAAACTGAATTTAATTTGCATGACTAGTTTTCTTGAAATGATCATTTTTAATATTTCATTCCGAATTTATAAAATAAATATCAAGTCCAAGGGGCATCAAATATATAGAAGTCACCTCAACAGGACCGAGTTTCGAATGTTAAACTGTTTTATTTGGTTTGCATAAAAAGGAAATGTGTTGTTTATTGAATTAAAAATTTGTGTTTAAGATCCTTAATTCGGAACAGTTGAAGTGGCATGAGATTTTAAACTCATAATTGTAAAATTTGGTAAAAATATTATTGTTAAGAAACAGTAACTTTTACTTACTACCACAAGAGAATTCCAAAAAATCTATGATTTGTTTTTATAAATTTTTGAATCTTAATTATTTTTGTCGAATACTAGTTATTTTTCTACAGCTTGTGACCCACATGACTCAGGGCTTTGAGGCTGTAGATGAGAGCAATTCAGATTTTGCA